GGGCCGTTGCCCCCCTCCGTGTTCCCCTCCGAACCTGCCCGCACCCCCCCACCCATCCGAACCTACGTTTGCCGGTGCGACGGGATGACGCAGTCAAGCATATACATCGCGGAGGCGATGGAGGGGCGGCTCGTGGTAGTGGAGTCGTGTTCCCACATACCCATGGACGAGCGAGCAGAGGTAGGCTGGCGTACCCCCCTCCCTTGTGTGTCTTGATGAAAATCTGTGACCCGACATAGATGTGGGGGGGGGGGGCGCTGTTCAGTGCCGGGGTTACGCGTTTTGTTGTGAACATTTCGGGGTGTGCTTTCGATCGGCGCACCATTGGGTTTGTGGTCCGTCTCGGCTCATCTCTCGCGTTCGTTTGCGCAGCGGGTGCGTATGGGTTGGTTGTATGGGTAATTTAAAGTCGATCAGTCAGTATGTATCTTAAATTGATCCATGCTGTCGGTGCAGGGCTTTGAGAACGGTGCCGATATATTTGTTAGGTCCATTCCCCATGCTGTTTCTGAGTTTAACGAAACAGGTGTGATTTGCAGACATGCACAACATCAGCTGCTGTGCTTAGTATCTTTTGTCGTGGCTCTCTGTGCGTGTTGCCTTACGTAGTTGTGGATCTTTCTTGGACTCTTTCTCGTCCAAGATAGCGCCATGGGCTATCTAGATTCATTCATCCCATCCCGCCTTTTTCCCCGTCTCCGGCTCGTGTGTCGACGTTTGTGTTGTCAAGGTCTTCTCTTCCGCGGTGCTGAGTTTCGCCAATAGCGTAGAGGTCGAGGACGCGTGGCAAGCCGTCGGCAGCAGCGCCAAATCTTGGTGGTAGGCGTTACGGCCCACGCACGCATGCCGAAGGGCTACATACAAAAAGAGGACACGCGACCGGACCCCCCCGGCTCCTTGCACTTGGTGAGGGGCTCGCTGCGTATCGAGAGGCGTGTGGCGTGTGGCCGTGTTGAGTGGCCGAAAAGGAGAAATAGAGCGCGAGACGAGCGCTTGGGGTCGGACGTATTATACACTGGGGTGACTGATGTCAGAGCTGCCTTACGATGCGGAGACATCACCAATGATGATGAGTTGATCTTGCTCTAGAGCTGTATACTTCCTGCTCGAATCTGCTGGTATTGACCGATCCGGGAGTGATGATCAGAGAGAGAGAGAGCGCGAGAGATGGAGAGGAGAAAGGGAGAGTGAAGTAGAGAGAGAGAACTAGAGAGAGAGAAAGAGAGAGAGACAGAGAGAGAGAGAGGGGGGGGGGGCGGGGGAGAGAGAGAGAGACAGAGNAAAGAGAGAGAGAGAGAGAGAGAGAGAGAGAGAGAGAGAGAGAGAGAGAGTCAGACAAACAGACAGACAAACAGACAGACAGACAGACAGACAGAGGATATAAATACTAATTCAAGTGTACTTTTTGGTACGGCTAGCAGCATATACTCTTGCAATCTACTGCCGCGCCTGGTTGAAGCATACAAAATCGACTAGTTTTGTGATTGTGCGCCTGAGGCATTCTTTTGCTGCAGATAGCATGGAAACCGCATGTGTTCCCCACAGAGGTTAGCCTGCGTTGGTAGGGGCGCGAAGCACTGGGGGGGGGGGGGGGGGGTTACGCNGAGGTGTTACGCTTCCTCAAGGGTTTCCTGCGGCCAGGCGTGTATTTGCATAATGAGGAGATGAGGGGACGGGGAAACATCCCCGCGGAAGGGTAGGATGGCCCTAGATTTGGGGCAACCCGCGTGTAGCTCCAGCCCCTCCCGGTTTTAGTCTTGTTACAGGTTTACTTCCCTTGGCACTTAGAGGTGGCAGCCTTGGAAACGATCAGCTGATCAATGATGTACCGGTCGTGGCGTGCTCAAGTCTCGGCATGTCCGTGGTGCCGTGATTGCGATGTATGTACGGCGGAGGGGTTAGCAGATAGATGGGTGTACTCATCCGTGCATGCCGTGTCGTTAGACCATTGACCTCGCATCCCTACAAAGCCGGGACGGAGCACGCCGGGTTCTCACCGGACCAGGCTCTCACATCACCAAGCGAGAAGCTCCGNAAGAAAGTTGTAAGCAGTGCTGTGTAACTGCCTCGAGGGTGCTTGACCATTTTAACGCAACGTGGTGCGATCATCCCCCTTGCGCGGAGTGAAGATTGTCCACCCCACACAACATGATCTATTCGACCACCATTATGGTTACCGCCAAACAAAAGAGGTAAGAAAAAAACGGTAACCTGGTTACCGAGTTCACGAAGTGAATTGGCTTGTTTGTTTTACAACGTCGTTGCCAAGCGACGAACACCCAACCCCGATGGCAAACACCGGGGGGGAGGAGATAGATGGGGTGGCAAAAAAGAGCCGAACATTCTGCTTTGCTCAGGTTGTTTCCGCGTACTACTGCTGCACCGATCTCGATTGGCAGTGATGCCCATTCGAATCACCTCGAGGAAACACCGTCAGCAGCAGGAGCAACAGCAAAGCCTATGGGGGAGGTGGCCCTGAACCGAACCCTTGAATTGCTTGTTGTTGAAGGATTGTGGTGTGTAAACTATTTCGGAAGTAAGCCTTTGACGGATGGACGGATGTGTGTCACCCTGTGACGGAGTCAGGGTTGGGGAAGGGGGCGTCCCGCCGGTACCTTTACGATAGATTTTGCCGGTGCGCGAGCCTATGTGTGGTGGAAGTTTGTGTAAGGTGGGAGTGGCGGGATGTGCGCTTGCCAAACAAAAAATTTATTGCATGTGCGGAGCTTGAGGCTGGGCAGAGGAGGGGGGGGGGGGGGGGGGGGNGGCAGGTTCATGTTGGGGGCAATGCCTTGTGAACTTGGCCCCCGAAACAATTAGACTACTACGCAGTGGTTCTTAGGAACAACGACGATGTTGTAGTTATTTCCGCGCGCCATGCTGTACTCCACGATACTCGCGCGCAGAAACGATTGCTGTGCTGCATTTTGTTTGAGATCTCAACAAGGTGTCGTGTGGTTTGTGTCTGTGGTAATCCACGTTGGTATTTGTTGTCCTGAAATCTCGTCTTCTTGTGCATGAAAGAGATAACTCAGTTTTGTGAAGCCGCACAAAAAGTAGGGACAAGAGACTGGGAATTATTGTCAGCAGTCGTTTGTTGACCTACCAATAACTTTTGCTCACAGAAGGTACAAGTGCAGACGTCGTATGTATCCTCTGTAAATACTTCGAAGGACTAGGAGGGCAGATCATTGCCCTTCCCTTCTCTCGAGAAATATTAAAAAGAAAAAAGGCTGAAGACGTTCACCGCATCATCAGTCCTTCCTTGTGGGTCAGGGTACGCAGCGCTGAAGAGAGCGCAGCGTATGCTGCTGTGCCGTTGAGCCGTTTGTGTGTGCGCTGGACGAATTCAAAATGGTTCTGTAAGGGTAGTTCTGGAGGCGTTATTTATCGCTTGCGCGCAAATTCTGTGCGCAAGTCCTTGCGCACGCACGCCGGCCGGCGTGGATGATGAGCACCGCTTTTCTCGATGCTTTCGAAATTTGTCATTATTATTTTGCGTACCCCCTTTGCTCGCCAAGCGGGAGGGGAAAAGAGCGGAGACCAGGCAGGGCAACACCACACACGCCCCCGGTCTACTCCTTACGATCAGTATAAACATCAGCCACCAAACAGACAGACATTCATATAAACTCTGTCTGCCCCCCAAAGCCGCTGATAGTACCACACCGGCTTGTTCATACTGAAACCACGAGAGAACCCCACTAGGCCCATCAACATTAGTATTGCCATTTGGCGAAACACCCGGGCCACCAAAGAAAAAAAACATTCTCGTCTCTCGCTACTCTCTGTTCCCCTGACCTTCCCATCGCACTGCAGAAAAACACGCATGTACCCGGACACCAGGACACCCACATATAAGCCATATAATATGTATGCGTATCCACCAATCAATCAGACTCGTCACGCACGTAACGGGGAAGCGCGTAGCACCAACATAGCCACACACAGCAGCCAGGAGTGCACTCCCCCAACCATGCAACGGTCCGATACACCCAACAACATGCGTCCTGCATATACCACCTGAAGTGCGATGTACACCAATCCCACTCAAAATAAATGGGACGAGCACCTCGGAACTGCGCCCAGCATAGGCACACGCAACCCCGACTGCGGCTACACAGTGAGTCCCCCCCGACGGACACTCACCCTGAACACAACGCCGCTGCTCCTATTTCCATGTCCACTGACACCCCCAAAAGCAAGGGTGGGTGGGTGGGAAATAGAAACGTCACAGCAGAAAACAACCCTTGGCCACCACACGCACACGTGCTCTCGCTCGCCCCCGGTAAACACGGCGAAGCGAGTAGACTGAAAACAGAACACCAACACGCTCGTCCGCTTCCTGCTTTCTGATTGGCCAAGGTTTATTTCTGCCGCTTCTCACAAAACGCAGATTTCCTTTACTTCGTCAGACAATCTTTCGCTTTTCTCGATGCTTTCGAAATTTGTCATTATTATTTTGCGTACCCCCTTTGCTCGCCAAGGGGGAGGGGAAAAGAGCGGAGACCAGGCAGGGCAACACCACACACGCCCCCGGTCTACTCCTTACGATCAGTATAAACATCAGCCACCAAACAGACAGACATTCATATAAACTCTGTCTGCCCCCCAAAGCCGCTGATAGTACCACACCGGCTTGTTCATACTGAAACCACGAGAGAACCCCACTAGGCCCATCAACATTAGTATTGCCATTTGGCGAAACACCCGGGCCACCAAAGAAAAAAAACATTCTCGTCTCTCGCTACTCTCTGTTCCCCTGACCTTCCCATCGCACTGCAGAAAAACACGCATGTACCCGGACACCAGGACACCCACATATAAGCCATATAATATGTATGCGTATCCACCAATCAATCAGACTCGTCACGCACGTAACTGGGAGGCGCGCAGCACCAAGATAGCCACACACAGCAGCCAGGAGTGCACTCCCCCAACCATGCAACGGTCCGATACACCCAACAACATGCGTCCTGCATATACCATACCACCTGAAGTGCGATGTACACCAATCCCACTCAAAACAAATTGGACGAGCACCTCGGAACTACGCCCAGCATAGGCACACGCAACCCCGACTGCGGCTACACAGTGAGTCCCCCCGACGGGCACTCACCCTGAACACAACGCCGCTGCTCCTATTTCCATGTCCACTGACACCGCCAAAAGAAAGGGTGGGTGGGTGGGAAAAAGAAACGTCACGGCAGAAAACAACCCTTGGCCACCACACGCACACGTGCTCTCGCTCGCCCCCGGTAAACACGCCGAAGCGAGTAGACTGAAAACAGAAACCAACACGCTCGTCCGCTTCCAAATTTCTGATTGGCCAAAGGTTTATTTCTGCCGCTTATTATCACAAAACGCAGATTTCCCTTACTTCGTCAGTCAATCTTTCGCTTTTCGCTTTTCTCGATGCTTTCGGAATTTGTCATTATTATTTTGCTTACCCCCTTTGCTCGCCAAGGGGGGGTGTACTCATAGTCGTGCATGCCGTAGTCGTCAGACTAGACCATTGACCTCGCATCCCTACAAAGAAAGCCGGGACGGAGCACGCCGGGTCCTCACCGGACCAGGCTCTCACAT